TTTGGGCTCCATCCTTTTGGGGCATGGGGGTGAGGAGGCTTTTGGAAATGAATATGCCTCCTTTCTGCAAGCCAATCCTGTAATTGGGCTGTCCTCCTCTACTGACTTCGTGTCATGGGATCAAGAAACATACCCACTTCATCAATCTCTGAGAAACATCCTTGTTCCAAACACCTGCCTGATAACTGTATTCTCAGAGGCTGCATGAACACCTGGGGTGTCTGGCCTTGAGATAAGTGTTTCCACTTCAGTGTCTGGAATTGACCCACATTTCAAGGCCTCTTCCTGCTCCGCCTCCTTTTCCTCTGATTCCCAGTCAAGAGCAAAAGCAACACCAAGAGCAAGTGTCTTTTTCACTCCCAACACAATCAGAAAAATTACTCTGCATAGTAACTCCTGACCCCTTCCTTCACCTTCCCTCAGGAGCAATAGGAGTAAGAAAGACTCAAAAGGACCTCAAAAGTATAGCCAGCACTATTCAAGAGATGTGTTGTAATTATATTTTGTATAACTTTCATGTACCTAAATAATTGTGCCCATGTTTCTCACCATGTTTTCTTGATGCATGGAGCAAGTGTTTTAATACATGAAATGATGTGTGCTTATCCACTTGGGTGCCCTGGAGCAAGTGTTTTAATACATGAAATGATGTGTGCTTATCCACTTGGGTGCCCGACTCATGCAGCTCTTTTAAAAAGTGCAAGGTTTTCCTTAAGAATAAAATCATCTAAGCTAAAAGCTGTCTGTTACCTGGTGTTGTCAGTTCCACTGCCACATTGACTTCTATGGGACTAATGTAAGCAACTGCCATTAGAAATTTTCTGCCACAAGGCATTTTTCTTCCATCCTACTCATGCAAGTTACCAATGCTGAATGAACCTGTAAGGATACGTTTATTTGCTGGTCTACAGAGAAATATAGTCAGTGATTCCTTTGACATGGTCTTCTGGATCAACATATAGGTGGACAAACACAACTGTGTTTACATTACAAGGTCCTTTTGGAACAACTTTGTACCAACATCCACAGGAAACTATGTCTTGTGAACCACTCCAGAATATGTTTGCCTCCTCAGTCTCAAGGTAAATATCAGATTTTGATGGGAGTTACATTAAAAAGCTAAATATAATTAGAGACTTTTTCCCATAATCATATGTTTGGTAAAACATGGTAAGGCTTGGCATTTACCACTGGCAATCTCCAAACATGGAAGTGCTCTAACCAAGCACTTTAAATGTCAAATCATTCCACTAGGTGGTTAGTATCAATACCTGATTTGCTTCAGTTAGGAAAATTAGTTGGTTTCGTTTATCCAAGTAGGCATACAGTTATTTTTTTAAATCCTCAGGCAATATCAATGATTTAATGGCATTTTTGTCATGACTGTGTGACTATGTGATCAGAATATATAATTGTCAAATGATCAGCTTGCATACAGCAGTTCATGATGTCACTTTTGTAAAACATAATCTTGTAGAAATGGTTTACTAGGCAGATTAACTGTCAGCCTGGGGACAATGTATTACAAATGAAGAATAAACCTACATTTTCTCTGTGGTACTGCAAATAATTTTTCTTGCCCCGAAATAATAACTGAGTGTATTCTAGTTAATTGTTAAAATGGCTTTTAGACAGGATTTCTTTTATTTAGAAAATAACAGTGGGTTTAATACTACAGTGTCACACAATGAACCATATCTGTTGACACTGTAATATTGGCTAACATTTGGTAATATTTAAATAAAATGTAGTTGCTATAAAAAATTATTTCCTTTTCTGAAAATGTTTTTGGTTTGGTTGGTTGGTTGGTTGGTTTTTTTTTTTTTTTTTTGCAGATATATATATACCTAACTTGTACAATTTAAGCTGAGGACTGATAGCATGAATTTGGGCCTGAAAACTCCACTGAAAATAATTAATTATCTGTTAGAAAACTCTAAATTATTTTTCTCATTGAACATGAACACAGAATAACAGTGCAAATTAAGGATTATAACTATAAACTGTACAAAATACAATACAAAATACAATTCTGTGGCTTATTATCCAGTTTTTCTAATAGCATGGGATAATATTGCATTAGAACATCTGTCATAAAATGCCGTATGTTTATTAATTGCCCAAATCCAGGCATAATCCAGCAAGGCACTAAAAGTATCAATTCCCATCCATCCTGCCAATACCCTTCTTGAAGTAGTGGGCTCTGCCAACTCCTTTGCACAGGCTCACTGCTTATACAAGGGAGACATCCTTTGCTAGACAAAACCATGCAATGAGCAGAAACACTTGTTTCTGGAAGAAGGTGTGTTACTGGAACTCCCTCACGTGAGCTCCATTGAACAACTTCTTTCAGAAAACAAGCATTTCTGGGTTGCTTTAGAAGTGCTAAATCACTTTGCTGCAAGCAGTGGAGGCTAATTGCACAATGAGAGTAGTAGAAAGGAAGGGAATCAGTCTGACAAAACTGCCCTGTTGGAACGGGTCTAAATTTTTGAAATAAGGTGACCAGATTCCTTCTTTTATAAAGGACATTTCTCTGTTTGCTGCCAGAAGATTTCCATTTGTTTGAAGGTGACTACTTTTTGAAAGGCTGTCTTGTTGAGTTCCAGATTAAAGATAATGAAATATAGCTCATCAGAGGTTAGCATGTGGAAAGTAAGATTAACAGGCAAACACATAGGTCTTCTGTTTTTTCACATAATAGTGATATGTTCTGTATTTCTATTTCAATTATAAAAATGTATATATTTGCATTTAATAAAGGTAAATCAACAAAGGTTATGCAAATCAGTATCTTTTTCCATCTGTTTTGGTGATGTATTTCCTGTTTTGGACAATTCATATACAATGATGTAGGGATTTTGGGAAAATGTGAATTAGTCTTATTTGTACAGAGAGGTTTACAGCTGAAAATTTTCAGTTTGCATTGGGTGATTTCCATTTGACCTAGAAAATGAATGTTGGTTTTACTTGAATTGATTTTACTTGAATTGAGTGAACAGGAGACAGGAGAACCTGGAGGGATGTTGTCTATGGGGTCACGAACAGTTAGGCACAACTTTGCGACTGAACAACAACAAAAACTGTCCCACATTGTTTTTGGTCCAAATTCACCCAAAGTATATGATATGAAAATTTGATGGGGCAATAAATGTGCTTTTAATGTAATATCATCTAGCTTTTATTAGAATACTTGCAAAGATTTAAAGGTAACTACATGTTCTTTCTTTACATTGTTTAAATTCAAGCAAATAAAAAAGCACTAAAAACTATTGACTCACTAATAATTTTTATAAACTAAATAGTTACTCATGTTTAGCAGCCAGTGTCAGCAGGGTTCAGCTCTCTTCCACTGAGATTGTTAAGGTGATTTCACTGCAGACAGGTTCCCACATACACCAGTGTGCCCATAGGGCTGCCAGTGGAAGCCATGAAGTCATTCATTCCTGCCTCTTTCAAAAAGATTTTTTTTAAGGAAAACAGTGCAATTCCAAGTTCTGCTTTCTATTACTGAACTTCCAGTTATCTGTTAAGCAGACACAACTAGAAGGGGGAAGAGAAGGAAAAAATGCTTCCTAGCCCTGCCCATATTTTTTTTTTCAAGCATTAATGCAAAAGATGTACAGTTAACCTATGGTTTTTCATGACAGGAACAAGTCATAGTAAACCTGAAACTCCTTAGGTTAACAACAAGTGAATTATATCTGGAAACTTAATTGTGATTAATCTTCACTAGGAGAGCACAGCTAGATTACAGGATTTACTCAGCACATCACCTGGGCACCAAAAACATGATACACCCTTGTGAGCCTAACTCCCAAAGTACATGTTTTAGGTGTGGGTGAAAGCAGGATAAAGGCTTTATTAAGGATTCAAGAAAAGTACAAAATGAGGGAAAGATTCTGAGCACACAAAAATAAGCATTCAGAGTGGGATCCTTAACTAGTCATTCCCAAGGGACCAAGAGCACATGAGAACTTAGGAAACTGGATTTATTTTTCTCTCAGTGATAGTGGCCAGTATCAATTGGTGCCATGCACCAAGCCTTATGCTGTTGGACAGGGTTGTCCTCAGGTGCCAGTTCCCTGTAGTAGGCTAATAGTGAAATAAGTGTACTGAGTACGTTCTTTGTTATTGGTTTACCCAGTTGATGCCACTCTCCTGAATAATGCTGTTCTACCCAGCAGAGGCTTATCAGTAGATAGTGAGAGATGGTTTTTGTGGGAAGGCCCCTGATGCCCAAATCTTCTCCAGATGATTGGAAGACCCTTTGGAATAGTGTGTGTGTGTGGGGGGGGGGTGATCTTGGAGGGCTAGAGGCAAAGGAAGAATCACTGTGTGTTCCATGATCAAAGTGCGTTTAGTCAGCAGCATAAACTCAGTTGGATACATCTGTGTACGTTTTAAATTGTTTTATTTTTCTCTCTTAATTATGCATTGGTCTTTGTATGTATTGTGTCTTTTGCCATTAGATAGCCAATACCCAGCAGCATCTTTAGAATAAGACTGCCTTTACTTAGTTCATCTTTTTAAAGATCATCATGCTCACTTAAGCCAGTAGGGATCCTTATACCCTCAGATGGAATATACACACAGTGATCCAGTGATTTTTTTCTGGGAGATTCTTAGGGTTTTAGAATTATGTTTCATATGGTAGCACCTAATATTTCATCTAAAGCCTAATATTTATTCATTTTGTAATCCATGTATATACAGTCTTCCAACCCTTAAGAGGTATACTCTTGGGCAGTGTACATTTCTTATGAGAACATTTCCGGTACAATTTTTAAAGATAACATGAACTTTTTAATATCAATTCATACCCTACAAGATATTCAATGAAATAAAATGTAGATTGATTAAGAAAGTAAAATATGTCTACTTCCATAGTAAGTTTAAAATTTTCAGTGTGTATATAGCTTTTGTTAAGAAGCATGTAATACTAAATGCTGGTTTGATTGAAGTCTCACCCACATTCCTGGTGTCTCTTTGTTTTACAGCACTGATAGCCATTGGACGATATAGTATGACAATAGAGACTGTGGATGTAGGATGGTGCAAAGAAATCACAGATCAAGGAGCCACCCAAATTGCTCAAAGTAGTAAATCACTCAGATACTTGGGTCTAATGAGATGTGATAAGGTAAGAAACATTTGTATGCAGACTCTGTAACACATGTCCTAGTGACTTACCCATTTATTCCTCATGTTGCATCCACATTGTTAGCTATTAAGGACAATAGCAAATGCATACAGTGGCCCAACTTCTCTATGATGCCAACTTGTTTGTTCATTTTTAACAGGAGGCATCTTTTCATAATTTCTGCCTTTATTTGTTCATGACATTGCTATAGCTGCCTTATTTTAAAACATAAAGTACAGTAATTGTAAAAAGGTTGCAGTGTCATCTGTAAAGGAAATAATTTTCAGCACACTTTCTTGATCACAAATCTTCATTGTAAAAATACATGGACCAAGAAACCTAGTATAGTTCACTCAGAGGAGAAATACTTTATCCCTAATGCCTTTATTATTTAATTTTCCATGTATTACTTTGCCCATTCAAAAGCACCTTAAGAAACTCTTGCTTTCTAAATTCTTTGTTTACACTAACAAATTGTAAAGATAAAGTTATTCTGAAAAATTCAGATTCTGAGCTGAAAAACCACTGATTTGGCAACTGACAGAATGTAATAAATTCAGCTTGAGAGTGTTTTAAGAGCCAAGAGAAGAAAAGTGTGTGAAAATCTCTTTTGATAAATTGAGCTAAGATTATCTACTTAGACTGTTCAAAGAGTTACTTGACCCTGGAATTTAGATTAGAACCTGAATCACCTGATCAATTCTACATATATTTCTTTTGTGGGTTCAGTTAAAATTGCTTGTACAATCAACAAATATATATATTTAGAAGCAATATGTTTGTCTTGTCTTGAGCTGTTAAAGACAATCAGTGACCTTGATGTTGAAAACAGAGTTGAGTGCAATATCAGTTAAACCATGCATACTGTATAGTCTGTATTCCTTTAATTGCTGGCTTATGCTTCCCGACTTCTTACAAAGGGACTACATGCTGTGTAGGGAGACAACTGAGCTAGCAAGAATAAAAATCTGTGAGACGGCTGCACAGCAAATGGGGAAAACTGTTCCTGATTAATGGGGAAAATATATTGGGTATCTTGATGAGAATGCTGTAAAGTGTGGCATTAGGGGTACCACTGGGGGTCATTTAGCTTGCTTGTTAAACCTCTGTGTGCAGGGGAATGAGGAAAGTAGACATAAAAAGAACAAATTTTCAGGAGCTCTGTCCTGAATTTAAAATCTTTAAAATGCAATGTTGGCAGCTCTAAGAGCTCCATCTTTCTTCCACATCTAGAGAATAAAGAACTCATGATACAAACCACTTGTTTCAGTTTTCTAACTTTACGCAAAACTAATTTCTTTTCCAATTGTTAGGGTCCAAAATGTCATTCATGAAAAGTCTTGGCAAGTAGAGAAGGATTTTCAAATGCCACTGTAACAGAAAATGTCTTTGCATACAGTTGGGTAGGGCCCAATTCCCCACCCCCAAGCATTTTCCAAAAATGCTGTATGATGTTTCCATGCCAAGTTGCCATTCCATGTTATACGGTATCGACAGACATACAAGTAAGTAGCTCATAAAAACAAAGAAATATAGAAACATATAGAAATAGATTTCAGCCGTTTCCACCAAAATATTCATTATATCATCTCCTTGGAATTTCTTTGATATGTACTTGACATAAATTTAGAATTACAATGGCATTGGGGGCCTTGCCAGAAAAGATCAGAGAAACTACAGGACTGGGTGAAGGCAGGCTCTGTTTGATTTCATCGATTATATAACTGCCTCTAGGCAATAGATGTCACTAGTGGCTGTGCTATTGATCCACATGATGAAAATAATCAAATTAATTCATTTCTCATAAAGTTGCTATTGCTGTGGTCCTTTTTATATCCATGTATGGTGCAGAAGCAAGACATTCACTACTTTAAGGGATAAACTAGTTTAATAATGGCACTATTATTCCCTCATAATGTTTTGTGTGTTTTATGTTTTGTTCAAGCTGTTTAAATCCAATAGTTTCCATCTAAATGTTGTTATCTGTTAACGTGGGAATCATTTCAAAGATTCCTGACATAAGATATGTACCTGCAGATTTTGCTTGACATTTAAGCACATGACAGGAGCATCAGTTACTACTGCTACTGGGAAGAGCCAGGAGCTACACACGGTTGCCTGGCTGAAGAGGTGCCTTGCTTCTGGGATAAAGCTTCTCATTCAACTGGTTGCAAGGGAGCACATGTTTGGGGTGGGGGTTGGAGGATGCTGTTTCCTTCCATAGCCATTGCAGATCTTTCAAAAGGCAGCTGGAACAGAAATAACAGTAGTATCACCTCAGAACTAAGCAAAGCAACATTGTTTTATGTCATTGTTCCCCACAGTCTTCATCACTCACCGCTGTCTTTCTTTCCCACCCCAAATTTTACAGTGTTTACTACATGTCAATTTTAACATATTTTCCACTATCTTGAGCAACTGTTCTCAAGCAAAAAGCCAAAATGTGCATTTTTAAAATTAACAAATACATAATTTAACCAAAGAAGCTGAATAGTTAAACATCTATTGTTAAAATAGTCATTAAAATAAATATTCAAGCAAAATAAGTTAATTTATGAACCTTAGTGCCAACAACAACTGGCACATATGACAGACTTATACATAGAAACAGAGCAATGCAGAAGGGACCTCCTGGGCTATCTAGTCTGACCCCCAGCTCCAGCCAGCTTCGCTCAAGACATGCCCACCATGTGCATGTCCAGCCTATCTTTGAACACCCTCACCAATGGGGCCTCAACCACCTCCCATGGAAGCCCATTCCATACTTCAGTGCACATAAAGGATTCATGAATATGCATGCTTGTAATGGAGGGTGGAGCTAGGTCCAGGTTGGGAGGGGACCTGGGCAAAGTGCTCAGTGGGCCCCAGCCTCTGTCAGTGGACACTAATGAGCTCGTAGTGGTGGGATGAGGCAGTGGTGCTCCAAGCAGCACCAAGCAGCTGGATCTAGACAATATTGTAATTTCCTAAAATGCATCCATGATATGAGGCTAGATTCAACAGCCTGGGGTTGCTCAGAATGCCAGACCAGGAAAAAAATACAGGGAAAAGGGGCTCCCTGCTTGGGCTCCTGCAGCACTCCAAAACTTTCTCATAACAATGCTTCTGATGAAAGACATGTAGAGTTAGGGTTACCCTTTGGAGTTACCCTTTGCCATGTAGGTGAAAGTGAAAGAAGCAGGCTTTGTAAACTTAATAACCTATATATACATTGCCCCACAGCAAATTGAAAGTTTGGAGTGACAGCCATTAAAAGAATAACTTCAGGAATTGTTGAGAGTCAGTGTAGTGCAGTGGTTAGAGTATCAAATTGGGGATCTGGGAGAACTGGGTTTTACTCCCTGCTCAGCCATGGAGGTCACTTCAGGCCAGTCACAGGATCTCAACCTAACCTACTTCACAAGACTGTCATCAGGATGGAGAGGAGGAAACCCTTGTAAGACACCTTTGTTTCCTCACAAGAACAAGAAAGGTAAGGTATAACTGTAATATAGTTGTAATAATAATGATGATATAATCAGAGCCCTTTTTGTTTGGGGGTCAGTTGTGTGTTTGTCCATGATAATTGTTTATCCTAAGTTCAGTTTGGGGCAAAAGGGAGTTGCAGTGACAAACCTTAAAATGATATAGACTTATGTGAAAGAGCACTGTCAAGGAATATATGTCTCCCCTCTGGGAGAAGTGGCAAATCTAAAAATTAAAGAGAAGATTACTTAATTTGACATCATTCTCAAAATATATATAGAAGAAAATCTTTTGAAACCCACAGTCTTTCAGCTATTCTCACCACAGCTATACGCTTTCTGAAGTGCAAGATCTGAAATGCTCCATGCAGTTACATACATGTCTACACAAAAACCCTGAATGCATTGGGACTTATTTCCAGGAAAGTGTGGGAGAATTGCAGTGTTGCACACTTGAATTGATTTGTGCCCACTTCTAAGCACCCCATGCTATTTGCAAAGACTTCCATATATCTGATAAATTTGTTAGACTGTAAGCAGTTGCAAGACTCTTTGTTATTTTGCTGTAACAGATTAATGAGTTCCCCCATGTAGGAAAAAAATCCATATATGGGGTCTTTCTCAGAGAGTAACTATTCTGGTATACATTTTCAGACATCACTAAACCATAACTAAAGCATAAATGTATATATTTTTTATTTAAAGAATAACAGAATTTCTTTTTTAACAGAAAACACAAAGCAGTAAACATCAAGATAAGAATGCCCATAAAATTAGACATAAATACAGTGATCCATAAATATGGGCAGCAACAAAAAACTCGTGCCAGTAAACCCTAAAAAGGCAGCTTCTGCATCCAAAAATAGTCAGCTATATAGATTTTCCTCAAAGCCCTGGAAGAAGAAAAACATATAGATACAAATGTATGAAGTATTTTTGTATCCGCTGTTTAGATCCAAGTATCAAAGGCCATAAGGAATCTAACCTTATTGGGCTCTCTGGCTTTCAATGTATCGCCCTAATAGAGAAGACTGTGCTCAAATCACTCACTAGTGTAGAACTCCAAGCAAGAGCTCCTGAGAAGAAAACATTGATCCCAAATATCTGTAGCCATGTGAAATGGGCAAAGGTCATGAATTGAGATTTTCATTGTCAACTTTTTAAAAAGTCGAATCTTATTGGTTCAGTGGAGAATATCCTGGAGATGTTTGTATCTTTAACAAGTCTAGCTTGAACCTGAGAATCAGCCTTTAGCTGACCATTTTATAAATGATTGACCATTTATATAATTCTGTCATATTAAAACCCTATTAAAAATAGTAATGATGTAGCTACCAGGTCATCGGGACATTTATGGCATGTGGTGCAAAAGTTTATTTCATTTTACCTCAGAAAGCTAGTAAATATTAAAACAAAATATCAAAAATTGCTTTCAAAGTGGTGGGACTTTTTTAAGAGCTGAAATGATCGTTTGTGATTTTTCAAGAGAATTATAAAACGTAATCCTTCTTCCTGCTCCTAAGTGTGTCATTTACCCACCCTACCTCCCATAAATGGCTGTAATTTTGTAATCTTAGGAATATCTGGTCCTCTACCTCAGACAATCCTATTAGAAAACAATTTACTTCATTGCTTTCATCCGCTCCAACCCCATCCAAGATGTTCTTATTTTAAATTTAGATTTGCAACATTAGCTTTTTAAAAGATAGAACAAAAGATGCTTTAAGGGAAATTGAGAAGCTTTCTATTAAGCCTATGGCTGAAAAGTGTTTTCTGAATTGCTCAGGAAGATTTTAGATGGATTATTTTATGTCTCCCAATTTAACTAATTCATCCCCATATTGCTTATAATTTTAATAAGTGCCTCTTCGTGCATTACCTATAAGCAGGAAAGAAGTGAGTGGGTGACTTGAACTTCTTTTTTCTTTGCTTCTGTTGTAACATGGGAAGCCTGATCTGTGAATCTTACCCAGAGGAGATCCATGAACTTTAGAAATCATCCAAGGCTTGCAGTTTTCACTACAGTTCAAATTCACAGATTCCACTTTATATATTAGAAGCAAAATGGAGATAGACAGACAAGTATTATAATGACAGAATCCCTAAATGATGTTCACAGACCTAAATAAACATGCAGTACTTTAAAGAGTAGTTTACGAAGATTCTACAAGGTAAGCTGGTATACAGACACCAGAATCCATCCTCCATGCAGATGTTGCTCGCTCGCGCTCGCTCGCTCTCTCTCTCTCTCTCTCTCTCTCTCTCTCTCTCTCTCTCTCTCTGTGTGTGTGTGTGTGTGTGTGTGTGTGTGTGTGTTGTTCAATAGCCCAGAGCACTGAGGTAATCACTGAAACACTGTAGAACATAACAGCCTCAGCAGATCAAGTGCCTAGCACTTCACACAGAATGATGCCACAAACCTTTCATTGTGTTTTAGCTACAGGCAGGAATTATAATTGGGCCACCTGAGAATGTTATTAATTTAACTATTAGGTTTTTAAAAAAATCAAACATTTGTTGTTAAATATACCTTTAAAATGAATTGAGAAAATAATACTTAAGATATATAAAGCAGCAGGGTAGAAGATTAAGCCTTAAGCAAAGACCTGAAAGCAAAGAAAGGTGGTGGTATGTAAAAAGTTTCCAGCCTGTGAATGTTGAACAGGGGACATAATTTCTCAGAATATTGCACATGAAGTGAACTTCATGCACAGCATTCACCAAGAGTATTAGGTGCAGATTAAATCAGATATTACTATAAGAGCTGCATAAGGAACATGGTTTATTTCTGACTTTGGACTGAAGAGTGTTCATCATAGCTGCTAGTGCTTTCTGTCCTGGTATACAGCGTTATTCATGGTTTATGTTGATCAACTTAATCTTTGTGAGTTCATTTTTTTCAAAGAGGAAGTTTTCCACCAAGGTCTAATTAGCTACGCATGCAAGCTCCATTGATTTTCCTTCCCTTTTTGAGAAAGAAGGATCATATATTCCAGGTGTACATTCATATACATTATGAATGCACAATCCCCAGTTTAGTGTGTCACCACTAGATGTGCTCAAAAGCACATCAAGTGGAATATCTGCAGAAAGGAGAACAGAGAAGTGAAGATCAGTTCCCTTGCTCATCATGCTCTTCCAGGCACTTGCTGGCAGAGTGTAGGGCTTTCAGAGTACTCCAAGCCAGAGATTTAGTGTTCTATTCATCAACCTCTTCAAGGAATTGTGCTCATTTTTCTTGGTTATACCAATCAGATTTAGATATTTAAGTAGCTAATTTTAAAGCTGGTCTCATTGTGCAGGGTTTAGTCAGATAATAAGACAAATACATGTAGTATGAGGATAAAGGAATGAAAATTATGTTTATTCTAATAAAACATTGGGAAATAAACCAAAAATCTTGTCACTTCATACTTGTATTCTATTGCTGTGTTGTTAAAAACAACCATATTCTGTCAAACATCATATGAAATTGCAGGGCAATACACAATATTATCCTGCAGTATTAAAACATTGAATACAGGGTGATAAAACTAACATCCAACAGTCATAATAAGAAGCAGAAAATTAAAATTCCAGTTACAAAGGAGATTGAGAAGTTATAAATATTAAAATGCCTGACAAAAAGTATACTTCTCAACCTGGTACTGAAAAGATTGTCAATAAGGCAGCAGAGTGCCTCTTTGAAGGGCCCTCAGAGAACAATCTATGGACTGAGACAGGGTAGTATATGAGGAGACACTCTTCATTTTACAGACAAAACAATATACAATTATTATTTTTTTCTTCTGGAGGGAGTGATTTGAAAGTCCTTACCATATCCACATACTATCTTCCAGGATTCTTTTAGATTTTAGTATATTCTAGATCTCTAAGTTTTACTATTAATAACACTAATTTATGCTTACTGCTTATATAGCACTTTTCCTGCCTCACTTTGGTAATCTTTGCAACAATTTTGTACAACCGGACCTATATTGCAAGAGCAGAGCTGAAGCTATTTTGTGGGCTACTAACTCTTAAGCAACATTTCTAGGCAGGCTTTGAAATGTGATTTTCTGATATGTGTGAGCTACTGAGGAGCATGCACCACTACAGAATTCATTCTGATTTATTAAAAGGCCATTCCTGCTTTCCAGATGTCTTCAGTGTTGCTGTAATGTAGCTGCTCACAGAAGTGTTTACAGCTTGCAGGGTCTCTGTATACTTCGAAAAGAAGTTAAACCTATTTTCTATCCAAGTTGCTCTTCAGTTGACAAATCTCCCAATGAAGATTGAGTGTTTCTATTATCAAAGCAGAAGAACTGTAGATTAAACCCGTCATTTATCCCTGTCATAAAATGCAATCACTGTTCATTCTCTGCACTGCCTAGCACAATTGTTTAAGTTGAGGGTTATTTCAGGGCAGGGGGTAGGGGATGAGAATGGATGGACATTTAAGGTACATTTGTTGGGCTTACAGCCATTTCTTCCAAGAAATGATTAAGCATTTGTCCTTAAGAATTTTAAGGAAGGTAGATACTTATTTGTTGAAAGAATGTAAAGTTGTGCTATAGCTGTTAGGTTTGTTATCTCATTTAGCTGAACATTGGACACTAAAAAGGAAATACAAAGTGAACAGTTGTAATATTGGCACACTGTCAGATTAGGCTGCTGAGTATTTAAATTAAATATTGATGTATTTTTAAATGTTCGATAAAGATTCCAAAGAAAGCTACCTAAAAGTTGTGGTTCTTAGGTTAATCTTTTACTTATCTAAAGGATGATGGAAGCTGTCTGGTTCTGTGATATGAACTACAATCAGCTTAAAAATAATTGACAAATTAATCCCCTCACAGCACAGCAGTTGTAAAGGTGTTAAGTTTAATTAGGCCTTTCTGATTGTTTTTTATGATCAAGGAATAAAGGTGGTATCTCTGGTTAAGGGCTAGCAGGGATATTATTTCTGACCTGTTAGGCTTCTGCATTTTCATTATTGTTTGCCTCCATTTCAACTGTTACTCAAGAAGGCCTTAAATATGTGTTAGTTCTTAATGAGAAGTTTATAACAAAAGGTGCCACTAAAACCACACTGAAGACCAGTGAGTTTCTTGTTAACACAGAAACTTAGAACTTACAGTAAATTCACATACATAATTGGTTTTTTCTTGGTTATTGTATAAGTGACAGATTAAGAGTGCAGCCTTTCTGGATACTTTGCAAGATTGAGATCATAGCCTGAGGTGTAGTGATGATCCTGATGAGTGTTCTTTCAATAAAGGCAGTATGAGTGTTCAGAAATTGCATCCCAGGAAAAATAGAGATGCCAGATGGCTTTCTGGCGTGAATGTAGAATTCTACCAGTCTTGCACTGGTCTCCAGTTAGTTTTGGGTTGCAATTCAAGACCCTGTTTCTTACCCAAATGGTTTGGGGCTAGGATGCTTAAAAGAGTGCCTCCTCCTCATGAACCTGACTGCAGTTTTGATCTGTTTCAGAGGCCCTGTTGCCTCGCTCACCAACATTAATTATTTGTTTTGCAGGAGCACCTGACAGTGCTTTTCCTGTTGTAGCATCTGTATAACTTTTGGATGATTTTAAATTCTTCTTCCTGCTTTTTAAAGAAGGCCTTTCTTTTTATTAGGATATTGTTTCACAGTTCTGAGTTAAAGCATTTAAATTACAAGCTGCCATGGGGACCTGTGGCAACTCATAAATCATGTTGTAAATAAATATAACTTTATTTCTTTTATGTGTAGGTGAATGAAGTGACTGTGGAGCAACTAGTACAACAGCACCCGCACATTACCTTCAGTACTGTACTACAAGATTGCAAGAGGACCTTGGAACGGGCATACCAGATGGGCTGGACACCCAGTATGTCCACTGCCTCTTAATCCATGACACGATATTAAACAGTCACCAGACTTAGACTGAACATTTGAACAATGTTAAGGTTTTTTTAATTGATACTCTTGCTTTTTATTATATGTTCAATTTTAGTATAAGACTTTTAATTTTGAATATATATATATATATATATATATATATATATATATATTGTTTAGTGGGAAATATGTTTGTTCTGTCTATTAATGGAAATATTGGAAGAGATATAATCAGATATATTTAATTTTTGAATGTTTATTTGTTAACCCGAACATCTGCAAGTCTCTTAAGATTTTGCAGAGGGTTTGTTACTTTTCTTGTTGCAATATAATTGTGCGTTTACATAAAATAGAAACACTATTCAGATGTTTTTTCCAGCTACATGTTCATGGTAGAAACAACTCTTTAGAGATGCATTGTAAGTTTTTTGTATACAAAAATCCAACGTTTAAAAGCCTTTGGCAATTTTTTTCAAGTGGGTTACTGCTAGTTCTGTGGGTAATTTCAGCAGTGTAATATATCATGCCTTTTTTTCTTTCATGTTATTTCTTTATTTGAGCTGCTCATATTTCCTTTTAGATTATAAGTGGCAACTCCTTTCCTAGACTCCACTTAAATTAGGCACTAATCTTAAAGCAGATTATCTAAATTGATGCCATCCACATGAGGGTTTTTTTTTTTTTTTTTTTTTTTTTTTGAGCTGTGCAGTTAAGAAAATCCACAAAGGAATATAACATTTGGATGACAAACCTTTATTTTGGTTGGGATCTTAATAAATGCCGGACATGTATGTAATAGTTATTTAAGTAGACGATCCTGCTGCTTTCTGTTAATGCTGCCAAAGTAACATTTTTGCCCTGTAGCAATCTCTTATGAATGTACTGTTATTTTCAGAAGGGCTTCTGTATGTGGACATCCTTTGCTGATTGTGCCCTTGATTGAGTTTCTGTGTGTTTGCCTCTTTTAGTTTTGCAGTATATGAACCAATAATGGTTTTGTTTTAATTTTTTTAAAGAAAATATTCTCTAAATAAATCCGTGGAAAAACTGCATGTGTAACTGACTGGTTTGGGAGCAGTAGAAAACCATGGTTTCCCACTATGTGAGTGAGCTTCAGGCTTGTGCATTCACATTTTTGCCTCTGATCCATGCCAAAGGATGAGATTGAAAGCTTCCACTTGCACATTGGACAAACCTGAACTCTTCATTACATCTGAACTTGAGGAGCTGTGATTAATTTAAACTTTACATTATGGTTAGTTATAGAAGTTTGAGTTTCTTTTCATGGCCTGCAATTTGTATTATATCCCACTTTTTTTTCTTTCTAGGAACTCAAGGCAGCTTACATATTTCTTTTTCCTCTCAGTCTTATCCTTACAACAACAATCCTGTGAGGTAACTTGGGTTCATTGAGAGTCAGTGACTGGCCCAAAGTCACCCAGTTAGCTCCATGGCTAAGTGTGTACTAGAACCCAGAGCTGGATTCCCACTTCTGCATTCTTAACCACTGCACCACAGAGGCTTTCTTTAAAATAACCATAGTTTAAACCAGCCTTTCCCAGCCTGGTGCTTTCCAGATGTCAAGTCAAGTTTTACTGTACTTAGCCATAGGTCATTACAAAATTGAGTAAAGGTATACTGAAAAATTAGAAAAATTTGTTAAAATTGAAAAAGTTATGAAAGTAAATTAAAAGCTAGTTTAGGAACTTGAAAATTTATTCTTTTCCAATATTTTATTACTATCAGGTGTACCTAAGACCTAAGTGAGGGAAGTCCCACTTCAGCTCTCATCAGAGAAGCAGAATAATCCTTGGGACTTTTCAGATGTTTTGGACTTCAGTTTCCATCAGCCAGTATAGCCATTGATCAAAATTTCTGAGAGTTGTGGTCCAAAGCTAGTTTTTCAAAAGCCTCAGCTACCTAAATTTGAATGAAAGAAGGAGCAGCGGCGTGTTTAAAAGTTTCAGTGAATATTTCTGACCTATTCTTATTGTATTTACTGTGCATGCAAACTTTCGTTTCAGTGGCTTGTTCATATGGCAAGAATCCGTGGTTTATTATGTGCAAACCTATGATTTCCACCCCAAGTGCTACATGCACAAGTGGAAGGCATTTTCCCTCTCCTGTGATAAGCAGTTTCTTCCAAAGTTTTTTCACCAAGCTATAGGTCACATTATATATCCTTACATGGATCCAGTTGGTTGGGTTTGGGTTTGGGTTTGAGTGTTGCTGTTGTTTTGTGGAGTTTTTATTGTGGGAGGAGGAATGCAAGGAGGCTGCAGTGGAAAGAGGGATGGAAGCCACAGTGTGTATGGAGGGCTCATTGCTCTTGGGTCCAAGCTTTTGAATGTATGTGTTGTTAAAAACTGATTAATCAAACACTTTAGGATGGGTTAGCATGCTGAATTCCTGCATGTGCTCATGAATGAAAGTTTATAAATATGCTAGGAAAGTGTTTTGTGAACTGAACACAGTAAACTAGCATCCATCTATGCAAATTCATCTAGAGATTTTTAGATTCAAAAGTTGACTGTTAATTCACCACACTAACATTTCTTTATGCACACTAATCTTTCTCTCTGTCATAATCTGTGTTCATAGGCACAATAAGAAATGAAAAACTAGCCCTTTATAGAAAGTTATCTTAGGGTGCAATCTTTTATACACTTTGATTGAATTCAGCCTGGCATACTTGTGAACAGGCTTATATAAAATTGCACTGTTATTCTGACATCTTCACCACATAATGAACATTGAATTAAATCCAAGAGAAATTTAAGATTTTATTAGCTAAGCCAGTACCAACACCCAGATAGCTTTGGCTATGGGATGATAGTAGTAGTAGTAATACCCTGTACAGAAATATGGCCAGTACAAGGTAAAACAAGCAAAGTCTTCTCATAACCAGTTCGACCCAAGATGTGTTGGACTACAATTCCCAGCTATCCTAGTGATTAGCATAGCCAATTTTTGTGTAGAATAAAGACTTTTATAAAGTTGCTTATTAGGGAAGGGGAATGCTCTCATTTCTTTGACCTGTGCCAGGGTGGATAAAAATCAATTATTTTTTAGAATAAGAAATGCTTTTTAATTTAAATCAGAGTTTTTACCTAAAATGGATTTTTAAATAAAAATTTTGCGGAAAAATCTCAAGATAGTTTTCTATTTAAAATACCATTATAATCCAAAGGTTATTCATCATGAAATAAGGATTAGTTTTATTTATGTAGCATGAGGCCATATATTCATGCAATGTTTAATTTTTTTTGGTAAATGAATTCCATTAATCTATTCACAATGTCATGCTCTTCCAAAAGTTTCTGTAAAATTATTGGGCAATTTTTGAAGATGCTATCACAGATGCTTTGTTTTACAGATCAAAACTGTGAATTTGTCTCTGCAGGGATCACATGCCTCTTCTTCACAGCAAACATGTTATAAAATAAACACAGAGTTGAGTAAAAGACCTTAATCCCATTGTTCCTTTGCAAATTTATGTATACAAAATCCATTCCTTAAACCTTAAGTGCTAAGTTTCAAAAAAAAAAATGCAATGAATAGTAGATTGTTGGGAATGGAATAGATTTCTACAAAAAGTTAAGTGTGTGGAGGGATGATTAGGCAGTAAAAATGAAGGTTAAATCTTTTGAGTAGAATACACCGCAAGTCTTTGAATCTTTTTGTGTATAACCTGAGGTTTATCATATTATTCTTTTCCTGGAAGATAAAACCTATAATGGCAGCAGGCTGTAAAAGAAACACAGTTTGGGAATATTTTAATGAAGTTTCTCTACCTACAGGGAAGGCAGGCATGAATGTAAATTATGCAGAAAACCATGATTTAAACCTAGTCTTCCTGACTAGTGATTTAAATCATTATTTAAATTGATTTGGTTTAAATCAAATCCACCCTGACTTTGTTGTGAGCCGCCCCGAGGCTTTGTTGTGATGGGGTGACATAGAAATGTCTTAAATAAATAAATAAATAAATAAATAAATAAATAAATAAATAAATAAATAAAATATATTTTTCATATTTGTATCCCTCCTGATGATGTTTACCTAAACCTGTTAAAGTATAAAAGATTTGTAATTCAAACCAGCTTGCTAGGTTGGATACGTTTAGCAAATAGCTAGAACAGACTGTATTGTAAGGGGTTAAATTTTAGGATAGTTGACAAACAGAACAGTAAAGGCAGCAGGTAACCTTTAGAATGTAACAATTTGATAAAGAGTGTTCAGTGGGTTTGTTTGGTTGGTTTTTTAAAAAGATGTAACACTATGTATTTGTTTTTTAAAGGTTAAAGTGTTTTAATCCAAAATATCAAATGTTCAGACTTGACTTGAAGAGTTGCTGTTATTGTCAAAATGTTTGGCTAATCTTGAAGGCTATGCTGCAGAACTTGGAAAACAGCATTAGTATGTTTGCATAAAACACATGTCCAGTCGCACAGCATGTATTCATGACAATGACAGAAAAGGCTTTCGGTGTCACTTTTGTGGCAGTCCTTGAATGTTTTCCTATCAAATATTTCAGATTAATCTTTGCAAAAGAAAAAAAAACCCTGTACTGTACTGGCATGTCACAAATACATATGAATACACATAATGCAGGGTATTTATCCATTCCAATAGTGGCAGTATTTTCAGAAATAAAACCATGAATGAAAAAGAAGCCTAGGCAATTTTCACTATAAGCATACCAGTGTCTATAATTAATACATTTTAATTTTCCTGTATAACTTGAGATCATAAATAAGTATACTGGCAGAAGCTTACAGTGGAATGTTTATTTTGACTACTTAGGAAACTTAGATCTTGTTTCATTTAGGAACAGGAGGAGAATGAGGAAGGGGGACTTACAAGTGTTTTGTTTTTTAAAATGCCCTGTTTCCAGCAGGCACCAAATCCCTA